AGAAAACATCCAATTTATTTGAAAACTCAGTGGTGGACTCGAACTGCCTTGTATCGGACCGCTCATTATAGAGGAACTAGCACTCGAGAATAGCTATGAGCGGCTTTTGGTTTATCGTGAATATGTAAAATAAGTTATGATAGCAGTTGCTGTCGTCATCCGTTATTGCAAATTTGGTAATTTCAGGGAGGGCAAGCGAGAAGTTTAAGTTTTATCTCCAGGCGAGGTCGTTTCGCGAGCGGCAAAGGACAAATCTGTCGACACACACACACAAAAAAAAACGGACCAATCTTGAAAAGTCTAGCCGGCATGTCTCTCTGGGGGATCCAGGAATGACCTTTCGAGCATGAGACGATAATTAGCATAGAGCGATGCTAGATCGCGATGTGATGAGGAGAGCACCACACACAGCTGAATTTATGTGTGGTTGATAAGTGGGAAGGAATTGAAGAGCCCATGGACAGCCACTCTGATTGGCACCTAACTTCGGCCTGCGCTGCACGCAACGCTGCAGAGCACGCAACCTTTTAGACCAGCACAGCCTGGTACTTCTCTGCACCGCTGGCTTGGTCTGTGACCGCACAACTGACAAAACCCTGCCAGACGTCAGTTTCCGCCCAGACTTCAAATGAGCGAGGGTTTTTTTAACGAAGTCTAGAGGCAAACAAAAAAATCAAAATTTAGTGTCTGCGTGCGAACTTTCGGTCGCACTGATTTCAATAATTGCAAGTGTGGTAGCGGTAAATTTTAACGCATATTGTTATCAGTTTTTTTCACGTGCATTTATCATAGTTGCAATAAATTTCTGTAACATAATGTTTCATTTCAACATTCTTGACGGGTTATGAACTAAAATTATATCGTGAGAAGCATTGAGAAAGTGAATGGCATGTCGAGCTAATATTTTTCCTTGAAAATAAGACCAGCTCCTAAAAAATTCAGTGTTACTATTTCAAGTAAAAAACTAATTGTATGTATTGACACTTCAATTTCCTGTTGGCAACAAGTCTTCGAAAATCAGTGCGAACTTACGTAGCGAACTTACAAGTGTAGAAGTTGAGATTTCTTTGAGATTGTACTCCTAAGTTAATGTGTTGAAACCTAGTTAATATGGTGGAATATTTGGAAAGGGGGTGGAATATATGTGTGGATGTATGAAATGTATAATTACAATCTTAATGCCGTAAATAGCTAAGCTGTGCAGATTTTACATTCATACCACAAATGGCTAATGACACAGCAAAAAAAAAAAATTCCAAAGGAATTCCACACAGATTTTGAAGCCAACAATTACGCTGAGTAATGTAAATTTTGAACATGCTCTTCTTCTACTGTTGAAAATGAGAAATTTATGTTCATTTTGATGTAGTTCAGTTAATCCTGGCATGATTTTTTGGTCTGAGTAATTTTTATTTAAATATTGCTGAGACATGCGAGTAGAACTTGTGTATGGTTCACTTATTATTTTGATTGTTATACACCCAGGATAAAATGTCATTGAGCGACGAAAGTGAAACAAAAGGGGATTTTTTTCGGTGGCATGCCGCATTTTTTCAGTTTATTCCCTTTTTTTTCTTTGAATTCCAATATTATTAATAATCAGTTTGTCATATATTGATGAACAAAACGAAACAAGCCTCATAAACCAAGACACAGCATGCGTGTACTAAATCTTTACACTAAAACTCTCACAGCCGTGCATCGATTCAACAAAGAACGTCGCCGATGCTTATCAGACATCAAAGAAACGCAAAGAGAGATCTCTGCGAATTAAATATATAAAAAGGTCTTAGGTGTTGTATGTATGAAGCAGCGTTCTTAAAATTGTTATCGGAATTACCTAGCATTTTGCGAGGTGTCAGCGAGAGCAGAGAGCGTTGAATAACGATGCTCAAATACTGGGACGCAGGAGTTATTAGACGCCTAACGCCAGACGTCGAAAAAACCTTAAGAAATGTGATGAAGCTGCTGCTTTGTCCACGCTCCATGTGTATTTGTGTGAGCAGAGCTTGTTCAACAAGCGCTATCGAAAGAATACACTCCTAAGACACTGGCCTCGATTCTCTAACAAAGCAAATAACATGGTCCTGCCAAACCATGCAGCCTGACTTTCTCGACATCAGGGAAAAAATCTAGCGAAATGTATAATTTCAAACACTGGTGATGACGGCATTCGAAGAGTTAATTTTCTTAGTCTTCTTTCATTCCACGAAGAGAAATTTTGAGAATACTCTGCATGTAAATTAATCACATTCGTTGATAATACACCACTCTTTCGATGCATATTATTTCTTAAAAAAACGAGTATCGCCAATCGGTGTATTGAAGTCATGGTTTCTAAAGCAAGAAGATTAAGCTTTCACCTTGCATGAGAAATTATGAGGAGTGATCCGCTATCATGTTGGTAGCGCATTTCTATTTATAAAATCCTTAGTGTATAATTAGATTTATAATGTAATAATATACAGATATACACAATATGTATAATGTAGTATATGTAGTTCCTGTTACGATCATGATCGGATAAAATTAATCAGAATTTTTGCTCAACAAAATAAAATCTTTCTCTAGCATTATTTATTTTATCTAGCATTATCTAGCATTATATTAGGGATCGATTGATAGATCATTTGACTGCTAATAATCTCCTATCAGACTGTCAACACGGCTTTATTGCCGGGAGATCCTGCACCACTAACCTCTTGTCGACTCTGAACGAATGGACTCGAGTATGAACATCTTCAAAAACAGACTAGACGAAGCTATGCAGGAGCATTTGTTCAGTCTTAAAATGCCTAGCAAATTACGGATCAGGCAATAAGTAAGATCGGGTTCCAAAGGCCGGATCCCTTGTGAATCAAGTCACGAAAAGTTCAAGAATCGGCAACAGGCCATGGGCCTATTTCTTCAACGCCGACACTTCTATTCTATTCTATTCTATTATCATTTGTTTCCTTGTATATAAAAAAAATTCGCTGCTCTCTGATCGCTTGCGTGGTAGGCTTGAAAAGAAGCTTGAGTTATGGAACACTTGCATGGCAGATTTCCAATCTCATTATACAATGTTATAACAATGGTTTACCTATTAGAAGCCCATTTACATAATCCACGTTAAAATCTGCCAGCTTATGTGCTATATACCCTTGCAGAGAAATCAAGAATCGGGGAGCAACTTATTGTTGCTGTCAGTGCCGTGCCTCCTCGAAGGATCCACAAATAGTGACACCAGTGAACCCAGAATGGAACACATGTGACATGGAAGTTTTCAGTAAGTCATCAATCAGCCGCGGATTGACTCAGCCTTACGCAAGCGAGACATAGCACTATTTAAACATTCAAGTGCCTCACCTCCAGCTGAATAATTGTAAAGCCCAGGGTGTAAACGGAACACAAAACGATCAAGAGGCTTGATCAAAATTTCGAATCAGTCGATTGACGCGTGCTTCAATCTTCCGATCAAAACCTCCCTTTCATCAGTAATTGGTTCAGATCATACTTTTTCGTTCGCTGGTGGTTAATTTTTAAGCTGCTATATATATTTTGGTGGTTAGCAATAGGTTCGACTACGGATATAGCCTTCCTTTACCTAAAAATAGTTGTATATTCTCATCAATCAAACTTTATATCAAGCAAACTTTTTATCATTTACAATCAAGCTTCGTTTCAAGTGTCAAAGAGTCAATCGATTGACGCAAGCTTTAGATCAAACAGCTTTGTCGTTTAGCGGTTCCTCTGACCAGCAACATCTATCATCATAGCATCACTTAATTAACACTCTTACCGGCATCCGAATTGTTCCCGACTAACTCCGTGCTACCATTTATCATCTTGGCTCGAATAAGGATTCCATCAAACCTGCCCGAAATTTCGTGCCCACTATCAACCGCCTGGTCCATCTGCCTTGATGAGGATGAGATGTTCTAATTCACTCATCTTTAAATTGCTCAAAAAGCTTTCTTTTGCAATTATATTGAAGAGAACACAGTAACCCCAATAATTAAGTAACATTTGGCCTAAAGAAACTGATGTGTTTTGAATCGTGAAGTCAGTGTCCTAGCTCCATCGTGACTTTCTACGATAGGCCTTCGATTGAGGGCTGTTAAAATGCAGAGGGTGCATACTGGCGGCCTGCAATAAGTGCACAAAAAAAATATTCTATACGAGAATACATCCTGGAACGTTCCAGCGCAGGCTGTCTGATTGGTATTTATTTTGTTCATATGTTGGCGACGATGTGCGCCTTATGGTACTTGGCTGGTTTTTGGAATCCTAGTTATGGATTGGCTTAGTTATGAAGGACTGCGGTCGATTGGATAGATCAATATAGTTGGAGAACTAGGTTATTTAAGGAATTGGGAAATTCGGTGTTGATTGCTTTTGGTCTTGTCAGGACGTCGTCAGAAATGGATAATCGAGAAATCGAACAATAAGATTTGTGCTGGTACCTCGTCGAAATTACTTCAATAGGATTCGGAAGACCTTATCTAACATGAAGATTAATTAGGACAGTTAAGAAGCCAGCGTGATAACTAGCTAAGAGAACTAATAGCTGCATATTAACATGAGTGGTCCAGATCAATCCTATGCCAGCGAGCCATCACTTTTATAGACACTAAATTTAAGCACTGGCCTCAATGTTATGATTTAGAAACTTTGGCAAAAAGGCGAATACTTTGCAAACACAAAAATTGTTATGCCACTTATGTTACAGGCCAGAAAGCTATGACTGCTTATCATTCTATCATCAAGCAGCTCTTCGGCTGAAGGTAATCTGCAAGTTCAAAAAGAGCGCGCTGTCCAAGGCGATGCTTGTCAGTGAAGTTGCTCGTTTCTTCGAGTTATTCATCATCAAGTGGGCAGACGTGAAGGATCAAACACAATTAAAAATAGCGTTCAAAACACAACTTGCAATTATGTAGGATTTCACGTAGACCTCACATGGCCCATAGTGGCTCAATTAATTGATAAGACAGAAGAGGCTGGATAAGTACGTAATTGAAGACGATGAAGACAACATTTTATTCTATGCATACATTACAAATTAAACTAATGCACGACTAAATCATGCGCGCTAATTCTCAGTACGCTTCCATACACGAGAATTCAATCGGCAATAATGCTGTTGCAAACGCAACCTAGGTAGGACCTTTTAAAAACGTCAAGCAGGAATTACCCTCAATTTTTAGCAAGGACTAAAGAATATACGAAAACAACTCTTGTGAAAGTATAACCCTTAATAGAAAAGACTTATCATTAATATGCTATATCGACTTCAGACAAACGAGAATGAAGAAAATTTCCGATTTATTCAACGCCACATGAAAAGGAACTCGTGTCGCTCTTCTGGGAGAATAGCATAGTAGACTACAATTTTATATTTCTGAAGAACGTTGGCAATATCCCAAAAATTATATATTTTGTAGAAAGAATGATTATGTCGTATGTCTGAAGTCAACACTTTTCCAATGATATACACAACATTCTAGAATATTAGAAAGGCCGTCAAAATCAACAAGATTTGACGCAAGAAATTAAGACACATAGGAGCCAAACATGGGTTCCTAAATAAAAATGCATTTCACGTTACCAAATGGCTGAAGCTGACGAATAACCTTAGCAAACTGAAGTGCTGTCGAAGAAATCGAGGATGAGGCATCGGCTGTCGTTTTTAGACGGCTCATCTGTTGAGGTCTCCATTTCAACAAGCAAGTCCAATTTCGTGCAGCTGCAGAGCTGGTTCTGTCACACAGCTTCGATTCTTCATCGCCAAAGAACAAATTACTCTCAGTTACAGAACACATGTCACATGTGTCATAAGGACGATAGCAGCGAAGGAGAAACAACGTTCCAACGCAACCTAGTTAGGACCTTTTAAACACGTCAAGCAGGAATTATACCCAATTTCTACCAAGGACTAAAGAATATACGAAAACAAATCGTGTGAAAGTATAACCCTTCAACCAGTAAACCGTCGAGGAAATGGTGCTTAGGCCTATAGCAGTCCACACAAGTGACTTTACACGAGACATGAACAAAGCGCTAGCGCCTACCTTGCACCCTCTGCCACATTAGAGCAGGGGCGCGGGCTTCCCACGCAGCAGCACCGTCCTGCCGTGCTGAAGTGACAGACGTAAAATGCATCCTTACCTCTTCCTCCTCTTTACCAAACAGTAAAAACAACACGTAAAATAGAACACTAATGAAAATCTGGCTCACAAAAGGAAATTCATTATTAAATAGGCACTGTCTGGTCAATTCTTAAGCATTCATCGCATGGATGTGAAGTTAAGACTGAACTCAGGTCTAAGAATGCAATATTTCAAGTTTATAGCAAACCATCATTGCAAATATGATGATATCAACATATTGCATTAGAGAACATCTGCCAGGATTCACACGGCTCATTTCAGCATGAAATCTGGTCACAATCATGGTCACTACAAAATTCCAGTTACCTATCAATCAGTTTCAAAAAGTATTCTAGCGCAGAACGGGAAAATGAGAAAGGATTTTGAAAATTATTTCATTAGACTTTGATCATAAAAAACGACTTTGTACAATAAAATTATCAACAATGATGAACGGTGACTTGCACAGAGCTTAGCGATACGTTATGGGTGAGCAAAAAATGAACGTTTAATGACAGAGTGACAGGGAGGAGGCAAGAGGCGAGGCAGGGACCGATCTCTGAACACTACGAGTTACGTGAACCTCAATTCGATGTTTGCAGAGACAGGACTGAGAAAAAATCGATAGATACCATTGCAGTTCATCACATTTCAGATGACCGACTGAGAGACATCGTAGTAGATGATACCATCTATCTATAATATCAAACGAACAAAAATATGTCTAGCATGACAAAGAGTCAAATTAGCCCTCATTACATTCCACAATATTGATAACAATTTGTACGAGAAAGAATATCTAGCAGAATTTTTTTTATACATTTTCCAAGTGTCATCGCAAAATTTGAAGGTTCGAACAAGAACGTCGTGTATGTATGGATTTAATAATTCTCAAGTAGCACATGCAACTCCAAATGATGCAAGTCAATAGCGCGTTGTCGTTCAGTGAGCTGATACACAAATTACTTATACCATGTTTTGCTCATCTGCAGAGAAAACCTCGAATCCCATGCCAAGAGACAAAGTTTTGAACAGCTCTAGAAGGCACAAAATCATTAGAGTCTCTGAGTCGTTGTGTAGTACCGCTGACTGGCCGTCCAACAGAACAACCACGAAACTTACCAGTGATAGCCAGCAAATGCCCTCGAATATACAAAGAAAAATAACTCGACCTCGATAAAAGATAAAAAAAATCAAGATGCAGGTTTCAGACTCTGATCACCAGAGAGTTGGGATTCCATTTACTGGATTAATGAAAAAAAAAAAAGTTTTTTAAAAAGTTGTTTCAGGCGGCGGATGAGCTGTTCAAGTTCTAGAGGAGAATTAAGTAAACAAGGCATTTCAATTGAAAATGTCCGGGGACAAACGCGTTGGAGTGAATCATTGAAAGACATGACGAATTAATATAAAAGATTATAGCAGCGAAATTGAAACTAAAAGAACACTCCACATGGCTCTAAATGAGAAATCATCGGTAAGTAATGCACTGAGTCGCGTATCAGGCACACACTATCTACGAGTTCTGGCACTTCGGCGTACGTTCAGCACCTCTCCAGCAGCACCACCCTCGTCGTCATCATCATCATCATTTCCTGAGATCTGGTCATCTATGACATTGTTCGGAGTGCCGTCGAAAGCCTTCAACTCGGCATGTCCTTCACTTTTATGGCCCTTACTTTCCTCTGCCACAAACGGATGCTCAGACTCAGAATTCAGTCCATTCACACGTTCGTTATTCTGACCAGCATTGGTCGAAGATTCGGTAGGCTCATCTAGTCGACTACAAATGGAGTCCCCAGCCATCGAAGTGTCTTGAGTCATGGAATATTCGTAGTCCAACGAAACATCGGTCACGAGGCCGGACGATTTGTCAGCTAACACAGAATAAGGATCTAAAATGGAATTTTCCGTAGTTCGGTCGGCGTTATGCGAACTTTCATCTAGGGGCTCGGGGGATGGATTACGAGCTATAAGAAGTTCCTCAGCAACTTTGTCTTGGTAGCTGCAGTTAACAGAAGGTGCGGCATCGTGAGACTCTCGCTCAAGAGCTTGGGATGGTGGTTCGATTTCACCAGAAGTTGACGCCTCTAAATTAGATCCCGCAAGATTTGCTTCACTTGGAGGGTCAGGGTTCACTCCATTGATGGAAAATTCGTCCATATGTCGCTCAATTGCTTGAGGGTTCTGACCAATATTATCACATGGTTCTTCGAGCCTATTCTCAAGAAACTCATTATGAGCTTCGACTGCACTTCTATCAACTTTAGTGTCACATGACGGAGAAACTACGTCAATGGAATCATCGTTAATTATCCTTCCATCATCAGAACTAGGTTCACAAAAATCTTCGTTGTGTATTTCACGACTTTTTTCTTCAGGGTTATTGGACTTTCCAGCATCCAAGCTCTGGACAGGAGCTTGATCACTGGACGTTTCAGCTTCCTTCTCCTCGTCGCCACTCAACGTGATGACCGCATCCACGATAGGCGCATCACCAGAGACCGCTCTATTATTTTGTTGGTCCACGGGCCCAGGACTTGTAGCGCCATTAGGCCCAGACGACGGCTGGCCAGCCATCTGGGCCCATGCATCCCAGCTACCAGGCTCCTCAGTCATAATGACGTCATCATCGTCGTCGTCAATTTCTACCTCCTCTGGAATATTGTGAATCTTGTGAGAGTTAGAAGACGGCGGCGGTTCTTCAGCAGCGCCCCAACGGCTCATGGTCCAAGGATTACTTTTTTTCGTGGAGTTTGTATTTTCTGTGCCATCTTTAGAATCCTTGTTATTGCCCTCTCGGTCCGTACGCGAGCGGTCCCTCTCACGGTCGTAACGATCAAAACCCCGTTCATTACGACCAAACCGATCTCGCTCGCCGTCTCCATAGCGATTGCGGTGTCGATCGTTGTCACGATCCCGTGATGATCGTTCACGCACTCTATCTTTGTCACGAGATCGGCCTCGTTCTCTCGACGATCGATCTCTGTCTTTGGACGATCGTCCTCTGTCGCGAGACGTTCTTTCTTTGTCTCGGCTTGAGCGGTCACGACTCGAACGATCTCGATCTCTAGACGATCGATCTCTGTTCCTGTCCCTTCTTTCATACCTATCTCTTTCTCTATCGCGGTCTCTGTCTCGGGATACCCCATCTCTGTCTCGAGAGAAACGTTCTCTTGATGATCTATCTCGATCTCTACGGTCTCGATCATAGTCCCTTCTATCTCTTCGATCTCTATCAGAATCTCGATTTGAACGTCGGTCCCTATCATGATCTCGAGATTGCCCGCTTTCGATCTCAGTCACATTGCTGTCCGACAACAAGTCAGCTCGAGCGGCGTCCTCTGGCAACTTTCGCTGGTCGAAAGCATCAGCGCGCGTTTCTGTAGGCGCTTCATTGTGCATTTCCTGACGCTCAGGTTCATCAGTAGGATGCCCGCCCTCCCACGGCCGATCATTCTCAAGTGGAGCCGATGGAGGAGCTCGGTCCTGGCTGGGAGCGAACATTGGAGGCGGTCCTTCGCGCCACCCACTCAGACCTGCAAAGAGAAGTGCTGCAGAAGCCACGCACCAAACAACGCATGTCAAAAACAGTTCTTAGATCGACAAACATGACCATGTTACTGGCAGGATTACTGCACAGCTTTTTGCCTAGCTCATTCATTATAGTCAACAGAAAAACGTTGATCATGAATCACAATTAGTATTAAACATGTTTTTATTTATAAGACATCAGAAAAATTCAATACTCCTTAAGACCGTAAATAACATCACGGCAAAATCGGCGATCAAGAATTCACCCAGCGACCCACATTGATAGTCGACCAAAGCTACATGCACAAGGTACGCAAATAGCGTTGGTTGGAAAATATTCAGGCAAGAATATTTTTGATGCAAACGTGAGCAGTGGGGCTCCAAACAAAGATCATATTTAACATTCACAAGTTGAAAATAAGATACAAAAATCCATCCCATTGTTCTAGAGTAGCGTCCCCCACTCACCCGACTGAGCACCCATGAGGCGGATGCCTGGCATCATCTGGGGCGTGAGGCCTTCAGGCAGCCTCTGCATTGGGGGAAGAGCAGGGCCCAGGGGCCTGTGTGGCCCAAGGTCGTGTAGCAGCGTGGGACGAGGGCCCATAACTCCGACGCCCATTGGAGGCGGTGCTAGCATTGGGCGCGGAGCTCCGAACATTGCCCGTGGACCAAAACCTGAAACAAGCAACAGCATCGGTAATCCTCTCATAGACTGGTATTTATTACAGCTTTCCAGTGACCATCACTTCAAATTGATAAATAACAATATTGCCGTATTCATTTAAAATTATAAAAACCGCAAAAAATTACGCATCAAAGTGAAAAGTAATGCATATTTTCAGAAAAGGACTAAGTTTTTTTGACACATTACAAGTGCAGTAGAAGTTGTAGCGGCAGCGGCGTAATGTTTTTCAGGAGCTCAATTGTTCATCCCTAGCATTACTTAAGAAAGGACAGTAATTTCAATCAATATATTTGTATATTAATTTAGATAATTCAGCTGGCTCTACATAACATCTAAATTTTTTTTTCATAATCAGTTCACTTTCATTTGAATTTAACTTCATCATTAACCTATCTTTGAGTTGAGACGTAGCTCATATTCTGATATTGTTTATTTTGTAGTATTAATTTCTGATATACCGTTATTGTACCTACAATAATTGTTCGTTTCATCGTAAAAATTCAATAATATCCTTTTCTAAAATAACTCAGCATCGTACGTGTGTAACTTCCATGCTTACTATAATTCGTCCACACTCGTGTAGCTAGCATCTAGTTAATCCGCCATTGCTCATGGGTTAAGCTTTTGTCGTATGTCGTAGTTATTCGCAACCGTCCAAATAATTCAATTCCAGTCTACTGTATCAAGGGGTTTCGTACATATTGGCTTTCCGAAAAGCTTTTTTAACGTCCTTTTGATCTTGCCTAACATACGGCCCAAAGCTGCATTTTGGATAACGCAAAGTGGAGGTTGACACATATACTAGTAAAAATATCGTGACAGATGGTAATGTATATACCCAGAAACGGTTTTGCTTTGAGAAATTACATTTACGACAAGAAATCGCGACTCTCAGTGGGACAGGGAAACCTTTTGAGTCAGGCAGTGGGGCTGAATATTAATAAAAATACAGGGAAAAGCATGAGACACCTCAAGCATCACAGCAGGCGTCTCAGGTCAAGACTCACTGGTTTTAAAGTATTCGAAATCGTAAGTTTTGGTTTTGGCAGAATTTGTACTGTTAGAGCTTAAATACTTCTATTACTCTCACCTGGCCCACTAGCGGCGGCCATGACATTAACACCCACGAAGTTTTCAGGCCTAAGGCCAGGGGCCATTGCTCCATGAAGACGTGGCCCAGGAGGGCCATTACTAAGCCCCAAAGAAGGACCGTTGTTCAAGCCTCGAGGCCCGCCAAATTCAGCGCCATTGCGGTCGTAGAAGTGGGGCGGACGAGAGCCCGGGTATGGATGTCCTCGGGGGAAGCCGGGGAAGTGTTCTGTGTGAAGAACACGCGTATATGACTTCGAGGTTGCTGAAGAAGTTGAAGTGTAAAGGCCCGTTTACACTAGGGGCAACACACGAGAGTCAAGTGCCTCAAAGCGCATGCAGAGGCGCTTTGCAGCCTCTGCATGCGCTTCTTGACCGATTGACGAGCTAGCGATTGACAGGGGTCATGCCTCATGCAACACTGTATGTTTTTGAATGTGCTACTTCTCTAATTATGATGCCTATGCTGAGTTCTCGTTTACAAATGGCATAGTGCGCAGAATGACGGACCGCAACACACCCGAGAACATTGGCCCACAGCTCAAATTCGGTGACATCCATCCTCATTGACATCTAGGTGGCAACTAGTGTTCAAAGCGCGCGGTCTCAAACTACCGAGTACAAAAGTAGTGTGAACGCTTGTGCGCGGTGAGGCACTGCAGCAAACGACTCAAAGCGCATGTCGTTGCCTCTAGTGTAAACGGGCCTTTAGAAGAATTCAGCACTTTTCCTATTGAAATTTCGAGTCTGAGTAGCAGTCTATTTGAAGTCTGAGAAGCATCATGGACGTTCAAGGCAAAGACATATTATTCTTAACACGGATGCGTGAGCCTCATCACATTGCAGGACATGCTTTTATTCCGCCCATTGTTAACATTGTTACCACGCACATGTGCTCGACAACTACAGCTCCCCTGCACCTTGCTACGGTGCGAGATGACAAGCACGAGACAAGCTAAATCGCCTTCACCGCCTAAAGTCTCAGCGATAACTATTCACCAAACTTACCTGCACCATTCATTTTGTTTTCCTCCTCGGCGATATATTTATTGTACATTTGAGTGATGCTCATCTTGCCATCGCCAGAATCTCCATCACGATCATCGTTTAATCCGTTCTCGTCCAACTCCTTTTCTTTCCTGCAAGGTGAAACTCAATAAAAAAACTGCTGTATACTTATGAACATGCCTATTCATGTCCGATCAACGTTTCAGAGTTTGAACAAAGCTGGAATTTTAACAATTTTAATTCGGTCTCACCCAAACTGCAGTAATGACTTTTAAAATAAAGCGTGTATTTAAAAGGGCCCTTAAAATAAAGCGTGTATTTAAAAGGACTCTTAAAATAAAGCGTGTATTTATAAGGGCTCTTAAAATAAAGCGTGTATTTAAAAGGACTCTTAAAATAAAGTGTGTATTTAAAAGGGCTCTTAAAATAAAGCGTGTATTAATATACTTATGAAGTAAATATGAACAAGCCAATTCGTGTCCGATTAACGTTTTTGAGTTTGAACGAAGCTGAAATTTATACAATATTAATTTTGTCTTTTGTCTCACCCGATGTCCTTAGCAACATCTTCCATCTCGACGTCCATACTGTCGCTGTCACGGGAGTTGCTGGCGCGGTCGGGCGATGGAGGTGCGTGCATGGGGCGGCCCACAACACGAAAAATAATAAATCTGATTATCACAAATATAGACAATAACAAGATTCAGAAATAAGATTCCGACTACATCTAGAATAAGTTAGACCTAATAATTGATGCTCCAAGTGATTATTGCAATCAGGAATGATTGTTTCACTTACTAAACTATCGGTCAAATGCCGCTGCATACGATGGGTAATAGATGCAGGGTATCGGTTGCTTTTGCTACTCAGTGATAGAGAGCTCATGAGGTAATGGGATTTCTTATGAATGATAAATCGAAGAGTTTCTGTCTGACTTTTGTCGGCAATTAAGAATGATACAAATTTAGGATATTAATTCACATTGTTAAAAGTGAGCAGCGGAACATTTCAGACGGTTCACATTCACTCTACTGCGTTCTGCCTATGGAAGACATTTCTTCAAGTCTAAGGACAACAGCATCTAAGTTTTGTTTCAATTTTTTTAACTGGGGGACAAAGACGGAAGGTATTATAAAGGATTTTTGTCAAGCACAGAATTGACGATATGATTTCTCATTCTCAACCATGTGAGAATTTTTCCGCAGTTGGTTGTAACAATTTTTACCGGGATGCATTGGTTAAATGTAATGATTTACTATTTTAGCGGATACAAAACTTACAAAATAAATATATAATTACCCTTTAATTTCAGAGGTTCTACTCGGCGCGTCATTGAAGAGCCCCTAGGGGCAGTTATCAGTTTAATGCTTTATGTAGTTACGAGAAAATTATTATTCATCAGTGGCCTAGGCTATTGCTGAGGCACCCTGAGTCATGCGCAAAATGTCACGAAATGTTTGAATAAAATCATCCAAGAAACCACAAATTATGGAACGTTGCAAAGTGACTCGACGTTGTAAGCACGGACAAGGCCGGGATATATAACGAGCTACGCCCTCGTAAACGTTATGCTGTAACTGGAAATACGATCAATGGGAACGTCCTTTTGCCGAATGGAATACCGATGGGGAAAATTAATTTTAAGAAAAGAATCACAGTCACTCGGAGTGCACTAAAGACTACCATAACCATAAAAGATGACAAAGAAAAGAAAGACTACCAGAATGTTGAGGGGCCATACTTTCAAAACTCGCTAAGTGAACGTAAGTACTTACGCTCTATTTTCTTGTCCATGATAGGTGGATTAGGCTTGAAAGGCCGTCTATGATTGGCTGACGAACTTACGATCACTTAACTTTTTTGAAAGTATAGTCCCACAAGAACAACAACGTGAGCGTTGAACTTACGACTCAACGATGCCATGGAGACAGGCGGAGGCAGGGCGCCCATGATGGGCTGACCGATCATGCTGGACACGGGGGGCATGGCCAGCGGGGGACCGAGACCCATGGAGTGAGGCACTCCGAGCCTCGGGAGACTGGGGGGCATGTTAGGGGGCATGTTGGGGGGCAAGTTAGGGGGCAAGTTATGGGGCAAAGCCGGCATGTTGGGAGGAAGGGAAGGAGGCATGTTGGGGGGCATGTTTGGGGGCATCATGGGTGGGAGTCCTCGAGGCCCAACACCGGGCGCTGCAACAATAAAAAGAACAAACGTTTTAGCAACATTTTGCGGCGCTACTAAAGGATGTTAAACAAATCGTGACCATTTTAATGACATGTGAAACATATTTGTAAATTACTGAATTGCTAGTGAAAAAATAACCAAGTTGAATTAATATCTCTACTGAAGCGTGCAGGTGCCGATGTAAACGATAAAGAATTCGACGTCACAATAGTCAAGCACCGTACAAGCATGACGATAAAAAATTATTGGAGCAGCAAAACTTGAAGAACATGAATCAAAATTAATGTTCGATGACACAATATGAAAACCTAGAAGTGCATTGTTGTGTAAAGGATAAAATTTTGCACTTTTGCGCGGAGAATAATTTTCTAATTAATTGACAGATCTATACAAGTTTCACATTAGGAAAGGGAGTTTAACTTGCACACTCACGAGGCAGGCTGGGAAGGCCGAAGGGCGGGATGACGTTATGGGGCATCCTGGGTCCCGTGGGCCCCAAGGAAGGGGGAGGTCCCTCCCTGCCCGGCATGTCCCTGCCTCCATCAACGACGTGCATCCCCGAGACGGGGGGAGCACCTGACACGGGGATGACGGGGGCGTTCACCCCTGATGGGGGAGCGCCAGCGGGTACACCGATGGGCAGGAAGCCTGGCAGGGGACCGCCTCCAGGAGCTGCTTCACTGACACCGTAGCGACCTGGCAAAAACATTAATGCTATTTTTACGACTCGGGAACGCAATTTAAATTTGCTCCGACATGATCGCAAAATGCGTTTTTAAATGCCAAATTTCATGGAATATCTCAACCTCTAAGTTTAACCATCACCACTATCATTATCAACAGACATCAAGCCTTATTGCCTTTAGAAACAAACATCGTGGTTATTTCAAGTCATCGGCAGGCAATTACATGTACAGTATATGCGCCTACATTTGTAATCACTCCCGTAAAACGAATATTTAGCAGCAAAGAGGCATCAACCATCGCTGGAAAAATCTGGTTATCAGGATCAAACAGAACCAGGTAATTAGTACTATTACCGTCTTATCATCATTATTACCTTCTAATACCGACCTACCGCAATTACAAGGGTTGACCTTTAAGACAGTCTAGCAGTTACTAACCTTTAAGCCAGTCTGGCACAGTTTCCTCGTCAATGACTCCTCCCTCCTCGAGCGAGTCGAGGTCCGAGGTGCTCATAGAGGTCAGTTTACTGTAAGGGATATAGGAGCAGCCGGCCTCCACCTCCCAGTAATCCTTGAATTCCTTGCCCTTAACGCCTTTTCCAGGCGCCCAAGCCATTGTTATTGCCTTGTTCTGAAAATGATACCGTCAAGTATAACTTCATTATTTCAATTGTAAAAAAAGCCTTTCATGGAAAGTGCACCGAGATATCAATTCGTACACCACTGAATAATTAGTACCATATTTAGCAAACCAGTGCCATGAATGACGTACAAGTGCGCAGCATGAATCTAGATGTTTTACTCAGATGAAAATAAGAATTATTGTAAAGATGTGTTAGTCTTGTGAAAATAAGAGTTACTTAAGACGTGTTACTGAGGTGAAAATAAGAGTGATTAAAGACGTGTTACTCTGGTAGAAATAAGAGGGAATCAAAAGACGTGCAACTTAAAAAAAAGAGTGACTCTAAAGACGTGTTACTTAGATGAAAATAAGAACTGAAAAGACTGAACTTTGCTAAAAAAAAGTGACTGCCATATAGAAGTTGAAAATAAGAATGACTGCAAAGACGTGTTACTCAGATAAAATAAAAGTGACTGCCGTATAGAAGCGAATAGAAGTTGAAAATAATGATTGTAAAGACTTGTTACTTAGATAAAAAAGTGACTATGCCATATAGAAGCGAATAGAAGTTGAAAATAATGACTGTGAAGGCGTGTTACTTTAACGAAAATAAGAGTGGACAGTGACTTAAAACTTTGCACTTTGATGATAATAATAATGACTAAAGACGTGTGTATTGACGAAAATAAGAGTTACTGACATGGATCTTGTGGTTGCGGAGTTTGGTGAGGGCGCGGGAGGCGTCCTGGCGTCTGTTCATGCAGATGAAGGCACAGCCGCGCGGTGGGATGAGATCAATAGAGACGATGTCGCCATACTCGCCATAAATGTCGCTCAGTTCCTCTTGGTGCACCAGCTGCAAAATCATCCAATACACGTTGGACTGCTTTACATGCAAAGTTCGTTCAACTGACAAACATTTTAACTGATTTAATCTTGTAGCTCAAAGTTACGAAGTTTGTATGTTGCTAGACTCGGAATATTAAATGGCAACAACAAATTTATATTTCTGGAGGAGGCAAGCTACACGACGCTGTATCGATACACACATGGCGGATGACCAATGATGAAATAAATGGCTATGATTTACGGGATTCAAAGAAATACCGGTAACTGCTTTTATTATCAGAAGAGCCCAATATGAAGAATGAAAACCATATTCGTGCTTCATATTGGTACACGGAGGCACCTAGAATAAGGCCTTTAGAGGGCGGTGGAGCACATGGCCAGATGGTTGGGTTAGATGGGTGGCACTCACCTTAGACAAATGACCGACCCAGAGGGCGGTGGAGCACACGGCCAGATGGTTGGGTTAGATGGGCGGCACTCACCTTAGACAGATGACCGACCCAGAGGGTGGTGGAGCACACGGCCAGATGGTTAGGTTTGATGGGCGGCAGACCTCTCTTCTTGCGCTCACGCTCTCTCTCGCGCTCCAGCTCGCGTTCGCGCTCCCTCTCTGGGTCCAGCTTTTCTCGCTCACTGCTAGAACGCTCGCGTTCTCTATCGCGCTCACGACGATCACGGGAACGAGATCTGCAGAAGAAGTTAAGTGTATCACATTAGAAAAACACTGCGCTGCCTACAACTCAATCAGTAATTAAGTTCAACTCAGTAGGTAATCAGCCTGGCATTTCAGTGATCTCGTAAGATTATAAGTATTAGCATAAGCTACGAGTTAGAAGAGCCAACACGCCAAAGCGAGTTTGTTACAAGCAGTTAACAGAGTTGAACCAATATTCACATACATACATATACCATCTAATCAAGCATATATTTTCTCTGATGTACACACTCCACAAGTGAAAATAGCTTCGCCGACACAATATCTCATTTTCATTTAACAGTTTAACCCTTGTCAGACTGCATAGGTTCAAGTGTTCCTACACGCGGTACGATTACAAAGTCGTAAAACTAGGCTGTCTGCCATGGTTTAAGCGAATAGTTTCCCTGGTATATGTCTGCCAGACCTAATGTACAAGACTGCCTGACTTCTTGCAAGTCTGCCTGACCCAAAGTACAAGTCTGCCCAACCTCTTGCGCCGCGAGGACCGAGAAGGAGACTTGCGAGAGCGAGACCGCGACCCAGACCTCGACCGCTTCGAGCGCGACCGAGAACGCGACCGACGGCGTCGGTGCTTGGAACGTGATGACGGGGAGCGGGATGAGCGGTGGTGGTGATGGTGGCGGTGGTGGGACTCTGTTGACCACTCTTCGGTGCTGATGATACAAATAAAAATATATCGGATAGTCTTTAGCATTATTCAAGTTCCAGAGCTGAAATAAATTTCAATTCAAGACACTGAATGTATTCAGAAGTAATTATACACAAATATTCTAATCATACGTTGCCTTGAAAATTCACAACAAAATTCACAAAATAAACAATAAAAGCCATCAATGAAGATCTATGAAGACCAACTTAGAGGATCAAGATGAAGTCTCTTAGATAAATCGCAATGCAAGCAAATTGAAGCTAAATAGACAATATAGAAGCAGCAACACCATGTGACGAAGGCATGCACTAAATCAGTGGTTCCCAAACTTTTTCAGGCCGGCGCCCCCCTTGTCTCCCCAGTGAATCTCTAGCGCCTCCCCGCTGAGGCATATATAAAAACAAAAGCCTCTTTCTTGATATTTAGTATGCTGCCATTTTGAAAGAGAAAGGTTAATCACAGATCTTTCCAGAGGCCCCAACAGATCATTCCACCGCCTCCAGGGGGACGATATCGCCCACTTTGGGAACCACTAAATAGACAATATACAAGCAGTTTATTGTAAACACCATTTTTTCACCATGTGATGAGAAGCATGCAACGCACCCATCTTTGACCTCCTCAGTGCTGTCATCGCCCGAGTGCTCTCCCTCCTCCCTGGGGCTCATCTGGCCAAACTGAGGCACAGGCGCCACGTCTGCATGAGGCTGAGGAGGCGCCCCGCCGTGTAGAGGTCCTGGAGGGCCCTGGAACCCTGCACCAACATCCTTGTGTTATATCACTTTAATATAGAGCTTTGCGTGATTGTCCCTTGTAAATCCGTGCACCAACATCCTCGTGTTATATCATTTTAATATAGAGCTTTGCTTGATTGTCCCTTGTAAATTCGTACATGTCTTTACATTTCTTTATTATATCAAGTGATTGCTTGAGGTTATACATATTATACATGTTACATATGCATAGGTTATACACATTATAGGATACATAGTAAGCACAACAAAATTTTGATTGAGATTATACCGCATTCTTTGCATTAGAATTTATCATTAAAGTTTTCGTGTCTTCACTTTGGATGTTCATTGGTCACATCTACAAAAATGGAAACTTGGATATGAGCAAACTTCTAACTTTTTTACCAAAAATCCCTGTTATATAAGAAATCAAAGTAGGGTGACAAAATCTCGTTTGTTTATGTCTTAAAAAATAGTTAGACGGAATTTATTCGACTTTCAAAGCTGAAAATAATGTGCAAATACCAGCACAAGCTCAACACTGGTCGCTGAAAAAGCAGTTCAAACATTTCAGTTCAAATCACATTATATGATGGCAAAATAGATCACAAGTTGAAGAGAAATTTAGGCTCGCGGTTAAAAAAAATAATTACCTTGCAGAGACCCATATAAACAACTGTGGCCTAAATATGTCATATTCGTCATAACTTGTAAATCTGGATCAGGCCAGACAGAGCTGAGAAGCTCCATAATCGACAGTCCAGCCCAGGTCAGGCCCCATAGAGCTGGGAAGCTCCATAATTAAGTTAGGTCAGGCCCCATAGAGCTGGGAAGCTCCATAATTAAGTTAGATCAGACCCCACAGAGCTGGGAAGCTCCTTAATCAACAGTCTAGGTCAGGCCTCATAGAGCTGAGAAGCTTCATAATTGATAGTCCATGTCAGGCCCCATAGAGCTGGGAGGGCAACACTCACCAGGTTCAAGTTGAGGAGGAGGAACTCCCACTGGCGGCGGCAATCCAAACAGGGAAGAAGGAGGAATGTAGCCAGGCGGCGGCTGTGAGATGTCCACGCCAAGGAAAGGAGGCAGGGTGCGGCCATCATAATCACCTGTACAACATACCGTATCATAGGCATAGGCCTCTCAACAAGGTTCATCCGAGTCTTGTTGACATTCATCCGTTAGTAAAAAGTTCTAAAGATTGCTAGAAAATTTATCTGGAGAGTGGATCAGAAACAGGAAGGAATAACTTCCTTAAATCATCACGCCATAAACTGACGAGTAATTTAATGTGGAGAGTAAGCTTCAAATACTCAAGCATCTAAACGACCAAAATTTCTGGTTGTTCTCTTCTCGAATTTGCTAGATCTCAACCCAGCTATAAGCAAACATGAAGACTTCAAATTAAAGCTTTAGTTTGGACGACGAGGGTACACCTAGCAACACATATTAGCAGGGTTTTTCACTTACCAGTCTGGTTAATAACAGGCACAAGACCGGAAGAAACGTGTTCCTCAGCAGCAGAGCTGTGAGGCACTCCACCACCGACGGAACCCGAGGATTGGAGGCCTTTCAAAGCCTGCTGTTGCTGCTGTTGTTGTGGTGTGTGACTCGGCGGTTCAGAAATACCTCCAAGACCAGGTATCTCCTGCACAATCAATAGACGGTTTTTGATCATATATTTAATTATTCAGAGACAAGGTATAACTTCATTAATCCTTAACACTACGGTGCCATTTTGATGTTTATTCAAGTGGATTCTCAGCTTTGGTGATTAGTTTTGAGTGGAAGGTTTTCATCACAACATAAAATTTGAATATCTAAAATTTTGAAAATATTTTTTAAAAAAATACACGATCTCATCATTACCACAACCGAAATAAACAATCATTGGTCCGAAAAAATTCAAATGATCAGGCTTTTTGAGGGCAATGAACTCAACAAATAATTGATTGTGTGCACTCTAAGACTAGTTGAGTGTAATCAAATAAAGAAAGTAAATGTGAGCTCTCTAAGTCCCACTGAGTGCACTAAACACACAAGTCAACAATTGTACACACAAATGACCCCTTCCCATAATGCATTACAAAATCTAACACAATTCGCACAGAAAATACGAACGTCCATCGCAAAATTTAGAAGTAAATTTTCCTATGGAGCTTTCACATGAACTTAATTTATTCATTTTTTATTTAATTTCTAAAGTATACCGGCTGCTGTTGCTGCTGTGGCTGAGTGGGCTGCTGCTTCATGAGTATTTGCTGGATCTGCGCAATGAGCGCCGGGTCGAGCGAAGTCACGGCAGCAACAGCTGCACTGTTCACAGCCGCAACAGCAGCAGCGGATGATGCTGGTAAGTTGTTGCTGTTGATGCTTGTGTGTTCAGGAATACTCTGCACAATAAGTTAATACATTAGCTTAGCACAGTAATATCTTAATTTTAAATAATTATGAACAAATAGAATGAACTGTCATCATAGAAAAGATGAGAATCATCTCATAACTTGAGTACGGTAAAAAGTTTATTTACACCTGAAATAAACATTAGCTTACTAGTCCAAAGATAACACAGAGCCCTACTAATAGGTACCTCTCATATACAAACTAATGCAGAACTATGAATACTTTCAACAGAAAAAGAACTCGACAAATTACAAGATATTGTACAATATATAGTGGCGTCTTCATTAAGCAAATATGAAGTATCGCAACTACTTGTACAGTCACTTTATATGAAGAACATACAGGTGCAGGAGCTGGGGCAGGCTGGCTGGGAGGTGACTGAGGTCCTGTAGTGTGTTGTTGCTGCTGTTGGCGCTCATGTTCCTGTTGCTTGTACTGCTCGAGCTCCTGTTGCTGTTGCGTTGATCTTGGTCGACTGGGCTTTTGGTTAATCCTTTGAGTTATTTCTTCTTGTATTGGATGGTTGGGGTCAGCCAAATCAAACAATGGCTGTATCACATCCTCGCCGAAGATGTGATTTTTTTGCCACAAGTTCAGCACTCTGATAACTTTGCTCTGTTGAGGAATGAAGTGTAAATTCGAAACGCAGAGTATTAAGGTACCGGTATGAACAGAGTAATTGATTTGTAGATAATCTCATTGCTAATAATAAAAAAATCAGGAATGAAGTGTAAATTTGATAGTTATCAAGCATAAAGGTATTAGATTTGTATATAATCTCATTGGTAATAGAAAGAAATAATTTTTTATAAAGCTGTTCAAAAAAGCAAACTAGAACTTTCTACAGTGACCGTGGCCACAAGAGCAAACTCACCTTGCCTTCAACCCACAAGAGCAAACTCACCTTGCCTTCAGCAGGGCATTTAAAGAGGTAATAAAAGGTCACTAAAATATTCTTGGCAAAACGGGGAGCGAAAACATCTTTATCTGCACCAAACTGGTGTCTGGACTGCCGCACTATGCTGTCAATCACGTACAGACCAGGGATTTTGTACTCCGTTTTGCACTGAAAGTAGATTTTAAAGAAATTATTTAAATAGTCAACTTCATCTGATTCTAATTAGCAAGAAAATAAGTATATACCTTCAAATTAGGTCAACAAGGTTCAGAAAAGTCATACATCAGTAGTTTCAACACTGGAACCAATTTTAAACTTGTTACTAATCATTGCAATCTAGTCACAGAGATAATGTTGAAGAGCTAAGTTGTTTGACTAATACATTGGAAAGAAGAGCAGCATCCTCGTCTAACCTACTTATGCTACATTTTATTTAATTGAACATCATAAGCTTGTGCACAGATTTCAACAAATCTAGTGCCATGGCTCTGGTTTGCAATTACACTAACTTTGTTATGTTGTCTTTGACATTGGAATGAAATAATGCCTCAATTTGACACATAAGAACAATCATTATCATATGATAGACCAATTGTGACATTTCAAATAATATCTGTACTGAAATTATGAGCACTAAACAATACCCATTCAATCTTCAATTATATAACCAATGAATGGACTACACCAATTTTGTAGTCAAAATATTATAACTAAAAATAAGTGTAAATCCCTTACCTTTTGAATAAATTTTTCTACACTTTGCACCACATGCTTGTAGAATTTGATAGCCCGGATAGCTCTTTTTGTAATTGCGGTCATCTTTGCTTTGGAGATTGGAGGCTTGCATTCATACATGCCAGCCAACTGCACAGACAACAAACAATTTTACATGCATAACTAACTATCAAAATAAAAAAACTACCTATGCCAATAAAAGAAACAAATTCTATTCATTTCACAGAACTGAAAACCAAGAGGATTACAAATCCCTACAACTAAAATGCACAAATTTTTTCTGATATAGCATGTCACATGATTTAGTAAGATGTTATGGTTAGGTGATTTTATGAAACAAAATAGCCCTGCCAAGAGAGCAACTTGGTTATTCATGCTAAAATTAGATTAATGATATTGCCAGCACTCAAACTGTAACCAGTGTACAATGTACGTAATGCAACTAATCAGCTTTGTTCTCCTTAAGAGTTGTGTTTCATAGTGCATAACACTATGCCCTTCTCATCAATATTGCAGTAATGACATGCGAGTGCCTTTATCATTAATTTCCAACTCAATCTAGTATCTTAAAACACCCACGCAACATCCTCGATATTTGACTGAATCATCAGCTGCCACCAGGAGGGAAGAAGCAATTACTTTAACCCTAATTGCCTTGGATTATCATGTGATGCTACAACCTTGTGGGCAATGATTTCTGTCCTTCAATCTTCTTACATGCCTTCAATCTTCTTACATGTTTTGGATGCCTTCAATCTTCTTAAACAAACCGCAATTATTTTACCAGGCATTAATAAAGTTTCCTATCAAATGCAGTCTTCAAGAGCACAATTCTTAACTATAAACCATTTTGAAAAATTATCACAATGATGCAACCAAATTTTTTACCTCAAGCAGAGCCATTTTCATGTATAACAACTCCAAGCGCCCAATATTTTGGTGATGTTAACGACGGTGAGAAGATTAAAAATCATATGCATGTGCTTTAGAACGCATGCTTCTCTATCACTGGTGCATGTGCATCTTCAACACTGGTTACCTTCTGAAAGTTTTTTGTTCTGATAGATTTTTCTATCTCATTGCCTGGGAGTTCATTGCCTGCTTATGCTACAAACTACACAAAATGAGATGCACGAGTGCAGTGGAAACCTCAAGTACCTCCTACCTCTATAGCTTGTGGAACATCAATGTAAGGCTGACAGGAGCACACTTCAATGCCAACACAAGGGGCAGCTCACTCAGTGGTAAAAGTTTGTATATAGTTTGCTAAATGCCCTACCATCAACTGGGGTGACTTCACCCACCAGGTGTGACTTTGGCCACCACTACAACAGAACCAAATGGCAGCAAAACAAAATAATAAATGTTGGCCAAAGTGACTGGGGTGACTTTGGCCACTGGGATGACTTTTGTCAATGTTTTAATATTTTTGTTTTACTGCCATTTTGTTCTGTTGTAGTGGTGGCTGAAGTCACCCCCAGTGGCTGAACTCACCCCAGTTGATGGTATCTAATTTCTCTAGGTCAAAACAGATAAGATATTATTGATCCAACACCAAGAATATGTCTCAGTTGAAGAGCATCTTGACAGACAGAGCTGGAGATTTGTACGTAGTTATTTTTTTTATGCAGGTTGGTTATTAGTATGAAGAACCTTTTCCCAGGAGCACAAGGCAATCAGGGTTAAGCAATCTCCATGCAGACTAATATAACAGCAGTTTCATTTGAAGATTCTGATGGCCTAGCTCACAGATATGAGAATGATGAAATTGAGGGTGCTCTCTGATTTTCAAAGCCCATTGAAAACATTTTACTACTGGTGCTACTGGATAAGCTGAGAATATAGGGAACAACTAACCTTTACAAACCAGAAACACAAGTCCAAACAATTAGCAGACTGTAACATTGAAGATACCTATTAAAACATAAATTGTCAAATGAAAACAAATAAGAATGAGGTAAACACGAGCAGATTCGTTTTCATTGGGAAATTTATGTTTTGGGACCCTCAATGTGAATTTTAGTTTGCTAATTGTTGCTAATTATATTAATAAGCCCTTATTAATAACAGGCTCTCGTTATTAATAATAAGGCTGAGAGGCTCTTATTCTGATGAGCAAACCAGCTTCTAATTCCATCTGTTATGGTGTGAACACTTCATTCTCTATCTTGTCCTGAATGTTTACTGCCACAACATTTTCCAGATGTGCATCTACTATCCACTCGGACAAACCTTAATTTATTAACCTGCATTAAACTGTAACAAAATGGCTGCTTAGACATTTCTAAATACCACCAATGCAAATTATATTTTCAGAAGGTGTGTAATGTGTAATAACCACTTTGTCTCCAACCTATTTTGTGCCATGCTCTACAGTGCAGTGCACCATAACTGCACATGGTGCCATTCTGTATGCCTTCTTAATTACCATCTACCTATGGAATTTTGGAGCATGCCCGGTCAGAATTAGAGCACATGATCAGGAATTGGAGCACATGCCTTGGCCAACCAAATGAGAGAGCCTAAGCACCAGACCATGGTCTCTGGCTCTACATTCCCCAGTTATGCTTCGAATTGCCCCTCCCCTGTCCTTGAGTATCGTTGAGCACTCTGGTGGTCATGGTGGAGCTATGCGACTGTCCAAATCCTGGATTTCCCTATGTGCCTTGCACCTTGCATATTGGGATATTGAAGACAAATTCCCACCTAACTGGCCCATCTTCCTTGACTATGGCTCATGGCTGTAAACAATGGTGGCATTCCATATTAAATCTGAAAGAAGATGAGCTTTTGGGATGTTGGAGTGCTCTGTCATAATCTAGGGAGCCACATGTCCCTATGCCTAGCCTCACAAATTCCAGTAAATCACTGCTGTGGAGAAAATCCTGTTGATAAGGAACAGAGACGCTTCTTCATGTCCAGCATTAATTGCACCAATGTCACAAAGAAGTCCATCCAATGATAATCCAATACCCTGAAAACTGTCCGATCTTATAAAAGGTACCAGGCGCTCCCAAGCCCTCCAAAGGTTCTATGGCTTGTCCAAACCAAAAGTTTATCAATGGATTTCCTATGAACTTAATTCCAAAAAAATATTTGTGAACTGTATTGATTGCACTATTAAAAATTAATCAATATAACTCATAAAGATAGTTAATCTCACTCTGCTCATCTATACAGGTACAGGTGAAATCAATTATAGGAGATCTGAAAATGCAATTAATATTCAACAGGAAGAAAAGTGAGTGCCTTGCAGAGGCAGCCTGTGGCAACCAAATAAGCTAGCAGCAGTTGGCAGGCAATCCCTAATCAAAATTGTTCAATACTGCTAAACTGCAGAATTGTTCAACTAAGTTAAATCCTGTGCTTTGGTTTTGTTAGCTTCTTGGGAGCAAAACTTTTTATAGATATTAGGACATGATAGATTATTAAATTTATACTAGATGGAGTGGATGCTAACTCAATGATAGCAGTTATGACAGTGAACCCATTCAACCTAACATTTTTATCCACATTTCAGCATAGTGGCAAACCAGGGGATTTTCATAATCAGTTCATTTTTAATTGTAGCCTAATTTTCTCATCTACTCAAGAATTAAACCAGTATATTCTGTATGTTAATGCTGGTATCCATGATACATTACTGTTTACTTACTTACTAGTGACAAGTGTACTAATGACTTGTCTACTACTCTACTTACAGGTTACAGGACTCAATTTCACTCAAAAAAGAACTTTAGGATGAGTATAAAAAAATTCTAGGTATGCATTGCCACTATCACAGCACTATGCCACTATGACCAATAATTAAAAAAAAAAAACTTCTGCCAAATATTCCATAATCATTGGCTAGTAGGTACTAGCTATGTACTGATTCTGACAATTTGACAAGGTGTGTAAACATTTTTAGTGATAACAGTCCAACAGAAACAAGGCAAACCTGAGGCTGCTTGGACACCATGGTCAATCGTCAGCCATGGACTAGCCTATATACTTATTCATTTTCACGGTTGAAAAACCAAATGTTTCGCCAATGAAAAATTGAAAAGGCATATCCTAGCTTGCTATGTAGGTTGTATGTGAATGTGATTATGTGAAAATTTAATAGGGTAAACGCGGTACTATATATATTCCGTCACATTAAGGACGCACCGAGAAATGAAAAACTATAAAAAAAATAACCGTATGCATTATTCAAGTTCTGTTTGCTTTAGGTGACTCTCAAAACACCATAGTACGCGTCGGCAACGATGAAACGTCACAAAATGTTGCCATATTTATGTAAAAGCCTTTAGAATGCAAACCTACCAAATCCCTATCCGTCACTGTGTGTGGCAATATTTGGCACGTGGTGAGGCGTATTCCGTCCGCGCTTCAAATTCTACCGATATGTAATGCCGTCATCCACGTGTTCGAATTCCGTTCGCTGTGTTAGCTGCATTGGAATACAACACGGCTTTGAATTAGAACACTAATGAATATTGAACACTACTTAATTACGCTTTTAATTAACAACTATTAAGCTTTTAATTAAGCAAATTTTAATTTTTGTACATAGCTTGGAACCTGTCTCTTATACACATCTNGCGAAGCCTCTTCTGAAAAATGGAGCAACCATCTATGCTGATAACTACTATTCCTCGGTACCATTAGCCGAGAAATTGCTCCAAGAAAAAACTTACTACTGTGGGACTGTACGCAAGAACAGGAAACTACTACCACAAGATGTTATGTCAGCAAAACTGAAAAGAGGTGAGGTAACAGGAAAGATGAACTCAAAAGGAGTAAAAATATGCCACTGGAAAGATAAGAGAGATGTCTTCACACTATCTACCTGCCCAGAGCATGATGTGCAACTTGTTCCAACTGGTAAAAAAAATCGAATGGGTGAGGAGGTGATGAAACCTGCATGCATTACAGATTATAATGCTGCAAAAGTTGGGGTTGACAAATCTGACCAAATGACTTTTTATAATTCAGTTCTCAGAAAAAGCACCAAATGGTACAGAAAACTTGCCATTGAATTGCTGTTAGGAACTTCAATTGTGAATGCTTGGGTTATTTATAACCAATTTTGTCTCCCGCAGCGACGAAGAAAAACATCAATTCTGAAATTCAAAGAGAGTCTTGCAATGTCACTCATTTGCGGAATCGCTAAAGAGAATCTGAACCCAGGTCCAGGTAGATCAAACATCTCAGGAAAGCGCAAATCTCATGAATTGGTTGAGGCTGATGGGCCTAAAAGTAAGAAGAGGAAGAGATGTCTGTCTTGCTACAGCCAAATTGCCAGTGCAGAAGGAACTAAAGTAGCCCATTCAAAAACTCGCAAGATAAACACTTATTGCAACACTTGCGAAAATAAACCATATCTGTGCGTATCATGCTTCAATCTGAAGCACTCCATTAGTCCATTTTGTCGTAAAGCGCCTAAGGACTCAAGTTCAACAAAGAATGATTAATAATGTTTACTCGCTACACGCAAAATATATGCTTAAATAATGCTTTAGACAGCTTAGTATACATTATTGTCATCATTATCCTTTACTTACAACACATAAAATGTGATTGAGGAGGTTAATATTGAAGTTTAATGAATTATTATAAATTTAAGCATGTGTACCATATGTGAGCCACGATGCAGGTTGAGACAGACACGCATGGTGGCAGGGAATTATTGTGAGTACTTATCGGTCCACCGCCGTGCGTCGGTCTTAACCCTTCGCAAGGCCCCATGCCCTTGGGCCCCTCTTGCAAGTTGTAATGGTCTAAACTCAACAGTTCGACCCCTGGCCCCATCCCCATGGTCTCATCACAGCTCCCTTTATAAATATGTGGAGTTTCGAAATTGATAGTAATAAATCAATAAATATTTGAACTGGGAAATTCCTTAGTTACTTACATTGGTTCCACAATGATATCAATGACGTAAAAAATTACAATGACATCGGTTAAGCCTCACTGCCTCAGAGGCTCAGCCATGATTCTAGCTTTGCTAAGTCCTTACACTCTTACCTCCGATACCTCGTAATTCATGATGTTAGAACTTAGATATTCAAATGTTGAATATCTGTCAATATCACAATCAAGATTATTTCACAATCAGAAATATGTTATAATATCACAATCGAAAATATTATTCACAAATAACCATTCATTTCAATGCCGAAATGGACTCTCATCTTATCACGCTAGCCATATGTTTACATACGTCACAAACGGTGATGTATGTCGTCCCACGGTGACGTCATCATACAAACGAACACGTGGAAACAAAAAAAAGCAATATTTCGCTGCACCACAAACAAATAAATGTAAATAATTGGTAATATAAAAGTTTTTCTGGAACATTTTGAGAGACTGTGCCTAAGCAGAATACGATATTAATAAATTATTAGTGAAGATAATAACAATAAAGTAGTTCATTTGATGGCTGCTGCTACTTGCTAGCGCTGGCATCTGAATACGGGTACATTCTATGGGTACAACTTCTATGATCAATTTGAATCATAAACATTTACCTAATGCAAGAAATTAGCAATCAATAATTCAACATTGTTTTGTAAGTTTTGTACCAACGGAACTAAGGAAAACTACATTAATTACATATTAGCAACTTAAGCTAAAAAAAATGCACTGTAACGGGAAACAGCTGTGAGAGAAGATGCCAGAAAGCGCGATGGATTCAATTTAGTCGTTTAATCGTTTTTAATTTGAAATTGATGTCAGTTCTTTGGAATAGGAGCGTAAATTACAGTGTAAAACTTATTAAAATTTTACGTTTCTGTGTGGATTTTGATGCTGTTAGCATTGAAATACTTGACAGTATCTCTGATGCAAGAAATACTGGCTAAATACATTTTAATTTAGAAATTAACGTCAATCAAAAATTAGAAATTGCTGCTGTCAGGGCTATGTTGTTTCTTGCGAACCGATTTAAAAAAAAAAATAAAAATAAAAATTTAAGCTCTATGACTTGTATACTATGTCTATCACAGTCTATAGGATTTTGAATCGATGCATGCATTCAAATTCAAATTAGGTTCACCCACGCCCCATGGCCAGCAGGCATGGAATATATCTACTTGGCGAGCCGCGACTGAATTTTTCGAGCCGTGGTTTTATGGATTTGCCAGCCGTGATTCCATTTCTTTGAGCTGTGATTCCATTTCACCGAGCTGTGAATTCCATATCTTGGCCATGAAAAGCCATTTACGTGGCGCGAATTTATTTACAAAGTCCATGCACATGTTACCCCAAATTTCTAATTTTACCCTAATACAGTCAAATGGCAAAGATAAAATTTGTCTTTACTGTAAGTTGAGCATGTGTTGATGCAGTCTGACTGCTTTGACATGACCGCAACTCATAGTGGCAAACCAGTGATTTTTTAGAATCAGTTCATTTTTAATTTTCTCATTTACCCAAAATTTAAGCCATTAAAGCCAATATCTTATGTATGATGATGCTGGTATCCATGATACTTTTCTGGCCTACTTATAGGACTTGAAATTGAACTTGAAGGAGAGTCTAAAAAACTCTCTGCTTTGCCACTATGCCGCAACTATGCGCGATCTTCAACAAACGTTTTGTTTATTTGTTTACATTACGATGTTTATGTTTTTTCTGCAGGATATTTTGGCGGGAACGGTAAAGCAATGCGGATTGCGGAAGTTGAAAATTTTATGAAGTGACATGTTTGCGAAGTGCAAACCGCAATTTTTCAATCAAACAAAAATTTATGACATTTGAGGCGCGAGATTTCATACCTACTGAAATTATATGATATTAGAGCCGCGATATTTCAGACAAAAATAGGATTTTTCCAGCCCTGTATTCCCTGCCACCATGCTTTTGAATAACCTATGGATTGGCACCATGCAGACACGCGTGACACGGTGACCCACACATAGTGGCAAACCAGAGCTTTTTTAGAATCAGTTCATTTTTAATTTCCTCATTTACTCAAGATTTAAACCAATTTCTTAAGTATGATAATGCTGGTATCCAGGATACTTTACTGGTCTACTTATAGGACTCAGAAATGAACTTGAGGGAGAGTCTAAAAAACTCTCTGCTTTGCCACTATGGACCCACATATGGGTCACGATGCGGTTAAAGTGTTAATATAAAGGAAAACCTAGAGAGGTGACGGAATTACCCACAATGACGGAATATACCGCGTTTACCCTAGCTAGGCAGCTAGGCTAACTCATCAACAAGAAAAATTGCCTAGCTGCCTAGGTATAGGTAAGGTAATCAGCCTTGCAAATTGTTTCAATTTTATAGACATTTCTTGCAAGTTGTAGACAGCAAAGCAGTAGTTATTTATTTTTAGTTATATGTTAACCTTAACCGCCAATAACAGGCTTTAACGTGATGACGAATTTGTATTGGTCATTAAATCAATAAATGTAGCCTAATCGGTTGATATTGTGATCATCAAGTTGAATGGAAGATGCCGATTTCAACACGCAGAATTTTTCGCAACAACTATAGAGATAGAAAAAACTTACCTCCATATTAAAAGACTTTATGGTATCCATGTCGCAGTTACTAGATGCAGATTATAATCAAAATATTGTCGTTTGGAGCTACGCATTCACGACCTAAACAACGCCATGTTCGCTACTATAGACGATTTGTTTTTTTTTCTAACAAAAAGTAATTTAAGCAAACAAATGACGATCGTCGGTGAATTCAGTTTAAAACTCCTCACAAAATTTGCAGCCATATATGCAATTCTATATGAATTGAAAATTGTTTCAGATTATTTAGTGCTAGAGTTACTCTACCATCATCTTTTAGCGGGTAATTAAGCGTATTCCATCCAGATGCCTTATTGGATATTCCATCCCATATGCGCATATGGGGATTTAAAATTAATCTGAGCGGTACTAAAGAAATTTACAAACCGTTTAAAATAAGTAAGATCGCGTCGTGTCTAGCCGTAAGTTAGTAATTTAACTAAAAATATATTCAAAATGTTATCACATATTAGAAGAGACATCATTGAATGATTGACCGAATCGACACTTTAGCACCGATTCGACACCGGTCCGACACTGATTCGACACTTCAGCGAACTCGCGTGCGAACTCGCCTGCGAGCTCGAACTTCATTTTCAACTCTGGCACTCATAACTCCTTCAATTATGAACGGATTTTATTCAAATTTGAAATATAAGTAGATAATATCAGTACGCTGCGGAGAGTATTTTTTTCAAATTTTTTCATCGATATTTGAAAAAAATACCCTCCGCAGCGTACTGATATTATCTACTTATATTTCAAATTTGAAGAAAATCCGTCCATTATTGACGGAGTTATGCGTGCCAGAGTTGAAAATTAAGTTAGGTTTTCCATTCGAGCTCGCAGGCGAGTTCGCACGCGAGTTCGCTGAAGTGTCGGAACGGTCACTTTAGCGAACTCAAGCGCGAACTAGCTCAAGCGCGAGCTCAAGAGGCAAACCTAACTTCACCTTAACTTACCCAGGCATAAATCCATAAATACCAAACGGATTTCTTTCAAATTTGAAATATAAGTAGATAATATTAGTAATTTGCGGACAGATTTTTTTCAGATTTTTACATCAAATACTTTTATATTAATACGGAAAACATGGCTTCATTTTCATTTTACCCAGTCATAAATTCATAAATACCAAACGGATTTCTTTCAAATTTGAAATATAAGTAGATAATATCAGTAATTTGTGGACAGATTTATTTCAGAATATTACATCAACTACTTTTTTATTAATACGGAAACCATGACTTCATTTTTAACTTACCCAGTCATAAATTCATGAATACCGAACGGATTTCTTTCAAATTTGAAAGATAAGTAGATAATATTAGTAATTTGTGGACAGGTTCATTTCAAAATTTTACATCGACTACTTTTTCATTAATACTGAAAACATGACTTCATTTTTAACTTACCCAGCCATAAATCCATAAATACCGAACGGATTTCTCTCAAATTTGAAAGATCAGTAAATAATATCAGTAATTTTTGGACAGATTTATTTCGGATTTTTACATCAATCACTTTCAAGAAATCGGTTCGGTATTTATGAATTTATGACTGGGTAAAATGAAAAGTCAAGTTTCAGCCGTGGTCGAGAGCGGACGCTCGTGTTTTGTGGTCCCAGATTTTCAACTTTTAACTTTAACTGTGCCGTTTTCGGAACTCTTTTTGCATTTTTTTTATGATCCGTGTCAGTGAATGACTGAATTTTCAGTGAAGTCAGTAAAAGAGAGTGCAAATAGAAAAAAAGCCTATAGTAAAAATGTTTCCATCTGAAATAACGTGATCTAGAGTCAGCGAGGGACGCAAGCAGGCCAGGCGAGGGTGTAGCGGATCTCGCTACATAGCACTAATATTATGCATAACATATCTCTAATTTTTATGTTTCTCATATTAACATAATCGAACTAATTTTTATGTTTCTTATACTAACATTAATATTAACACTTACAATACACATTAAAGTCGTACATTTTAAATCATATTAAATAATTATAACATCATCACGAGAGTTTCGGAGAAAGCAGCTCAGTCGATGGCAACAGCTCTAGCCCTTTTTCACTGGTTCTTCTATAGCCTCTCAAAATCCTAACGTTCTGTTTGCCTCCTGACTTTGAGTCGTCAACATCTCTCACGTAAGCTCCGTAACTTAGAAATTATTCTGCCGTAGAATAGCTCTCATTCAATGTGTTAAGTATAAGAGTAAAGTTAGTTCCGAAGTCGGAGTCATTGCAAGTGAATAAATTAAATTAACGTATTATATTAACGTATTTTCATGCCATATATATAGCTCACGTGGCTTTGGCCCATTTGTGAGATGGTGTCGTAAAATGTGAATAGCGTATTAACAAAGGCCTTATTTCGCAGCTCTACATGATCTGTTTCCTGCAACGCATAAAATCAAGATCACGCGAAATCTCCCGCCTGACGTCATCTCAGTCAGCAAATCTAATTATCCCGGCCAGCATCTCGGTCACCCTCGAGTCTTAGACATCGGCGTCACACGCTTGACTTCCCGCCAACTCGCAGGCCGCCATCTTGCCACGCCTCAAGCCAACTCAGTCTACCGACGCTCATCCGTGAATATTCAGTGAACTTTGCTGTAAAGTGTGATATACTCAATTAACTCTCATTCTGATAGTCAGTGAACTCTAGCTGTGAACGTAATCAGTTAATCAACTCAGTGAATTATCGCTGTGAACTTAATCTGTCAACCAACTCAGTGAATTCTCGCTGTGAACTTAATCAGTCAACCAACTCAGTGAATTCTCGCTGTGAACTTAATCAGTCAACCAACTCAGTGAATTCTCGCTGTGAACNCACGCGTACAGTATTCCTGTTATAGGTACATGCCGATTGCCGACTGTCAAACCATTATCCAAGCGCATTGTAATGTGACGCTATCTGTTGCCGATCATCCCTGACGTACGTATCACATTGAGAGCAATTCCATAAATGGACTTTTAATAACGTCTACTAGCCTGGTCAATATTAAAAACTGAAAAGGTCCAGTAATATGGACTGCGTTAATGAAGTAGCGTTAAATAAAAATGTAACTAAATCGAGTCGTGAAAACATCGATTTATAAACGCTATCTATATATACTCTCATTGACGTTTTAAAAAAACGCATATTGATGTTGCGTAAATCTATAATTGCCAGCGTTAATGCTGAACCAGATGTCTTATTGATGTATACTGTCATAACGTCAAATTAAGGTTCAGACAAGGTCATTTTAATGAAATATTTTATGAACCTGTATTATATCGAGCTATTATATCAATATATATATACTCAGCGACGCTACAACGTGTAGCCGACGTAATCGAAAACGACGTACGATCGAGTAGAATCTATCTAACGACATAACTAGCGATTCATCCTGCATAATGATTTCATATTATCATCTTGGTGTAAGACTTGATTAAGATGTCATTTTATCACGATAGTTGATACATAGAATAAATAATTGTTTCCCTCTAACATAAACCTTTACTATTCAATACCGAGTTAAATTGGACGAAATATTTTATGGAATTTAAATAATTCAGAGGTTCAGAGATATGAGTATCTGAGACTCAAATAAATGCCTTATATTTATAAATATAATTCTCACGATTATATATTAAAAACAGACACCTGACACTACGCGGCACGCATTCACTTAGTAAAATATTTCGCACCACTTATGACCGCTGCCTCATTTTATAGTAAAGGGGCAAGTTCTTTGTACCAAAAGACTGAAAGGTAGATGAAATTAAATGAAAATATCGACAGGAGTGCTAAAAAGGAATTCGTTTGTAGAGATTTTTGATGGTAAATATGTTTTTTTCTCGATTTTTTCCTCCACCCTCCACCTACAGAGACTCCATTCTTAACATCATCTCTGTCAGTTTCCACACGCTCTTCAAATATTTATTTTACACACTAAATCTTGCCCATGGAATCTGCACAGGCCGATTCTATTATATTTTTGGATGCAATCAGCGCTTGGTCAACACTGATTCAATGCACTTAACTCTGCCATGTCAAGGTCTGAGTCTTCTTCAGGACCTAGATAAATATTTAATGCTCACTACTTCAAATGAAGGACTCACGCTATCGAAAAATAAACTACATTCCTTGGGTTAAATATCAGTTGGTAGGAGAAAATTATGCTGCTGGACTAATTTTAAAAAGCTAAGCAATTTTTACATGTGATTTTGAAATAAATTCATTCTACTATATATTTTTCTAACACTGAGAGAATGTTCTGTAAGGTCAATGCTTTAATTCGAAGCGATGTGCCTTGATATTTGTGCATAGCATCAATTACTCAACTCGGAGCACAAACTAGGAACTCACGTTGATGCTGCCGAATACCAGTAAAATATGAATGCATCGAAGCCGCTTCCATGAAAGTTTATTTCTTCACATAAGTTGTTTTTCAAATAAGTTCGCAAGTTCAAATAAGTTCGCAAGTTCTTCAAATATATTGTTTTTAAATTGTATTCTCCACCCAGGATGTCAAAAAAAAAAAAAAAACAGAAATAGTAATAGTCTATGACTATAATTCGAAGTCCACATCCCTATGTTATGTTATGATTATTAGCATAAAAATATTCATGTGTACATGCATATATGATCAAATGCACATTAGTCATTAGTCACACAAGCGTACGAAATTTAATAATCAGTAAAAATAAATGCCAAACTAAAAAGCACCGAAGCGTGAGCTGCGGCGTTCGGTGCATCGAAGTGTTTCAAGCTTAACGAACCGAAGTGTTTCAAGTTCAACGCACCAAAGTGTGTTTTAAGTTCAATGCACCGAAGTGTTTCAAGCACAACGCACTGAAGTGTTCAAAGATTAACGTCTTGAAGCGTTCTAAGCAGAACCCTCCGAAGTATTTCAAGTTTGACGCACCAAAGTGTTGCAAGCATAACACACCGAAATGTATATCAATCTTAATGCACCGAAGTGTACCAGTTAACGCGCTGAAGTGTACCAAGTTAACGCACCGAAGTGTTCCAAGTATAACGCACCGAGATGTACCAAGTTAGTTCACCAAAGTGAATCAGTTCAAAGCACCAAAATGGAAAAATCTTCTCTCAACAAAGAGTAACAATCGTCGCGAAAAGATTAAAGCGAAAAGCACACAACACACGAATTTTGGAAATTTTATGGTGAACGTACAGCCCGAGCCACGTTTTTTGGGGCGAGCCATGATTAAAGCGAAAAGCA